CCCGAGCAGAAATGCTGGCGGAAAAAGAGAGTGGCACGAGTGTCCCTATATAATGGTGCGTCATGCACGTTGCCAGTGGGACCTGCTTGGATGGTGTAATTAGTGTTTGTGGAACTCAAGACTGGCAACGATGAAGCTCACAGCGCCCCCTTGCGGGAGATCACACTCTGCACCCAGTGGGACGACAGAGCGGCACACACTTAGTCACAGGGTTTTCAGTTAACCATAATCCCGGAGGAAAGGAATGGCTCAACGGAAAGGTGAAGCGTCCAAGCAATGAAGATGTTTCAAAAATGTTTGTGTCTATCATCATGCAAGAACCATGGAAGCAAACCAGAAAAGTAGACAGCGTGAGCAACAGTTGATGGCAGGTACGTCGAAAGAGCGTCCTCTTTCGATATCCTAGTCTGGACCTGGAGCTTCGTTGGCTCACGCCAGGAACAGGCCCGTGAGCCCCCTGCTTTTGCAAAGCCAAGAACTCTTAGAACTCTTAGAAACAGAGCGTGACACACACACACACACACACGGCTCAAGACACACCCGTGTGGTTCCTTTAACGTTGCATCATGCATGTTGCCAGTGGGACCTGCTTGGATGGTGTAGTGTTTGTGGAACTCAAGACCGGCAGCGATGAAGCTCACAGCGTTGCAAGCTAGTAGCACCCAATGAGGCCTGTAGGGATGGCAACTGAGCGATTTTATGTAGAGGCTTCTTTTTGTTGCCAAAGGGCCTCAAACTGGAGGATACGGTTTTCCGATGCTGCAATTCCAAGTGTTGCTTTTGCGGTTGCACAGTAGCCGGCAGAAAACTAGAGGCATCTAGAGGCCTAGGGCATTTGGGATATGTACGTAAAATTCTTCCATATTATATCCACATATACATGCATACTAGTTGTGCAAAAACATATGTATTACTATACATACTGTTCAGGCAGATCTATCCCAAACCCCGCAAATGAACCTCAGATCAGCCAGGCGGAGCAGAGCCTGATGAAGAGACGCTGAAGCAAACCTTCGAGAACTCCCCACAGCCTGCAGGAGGAGGTCGTGATGAAGCAGATGGCAAGCACCTCGACCTGAAGAAAGTGGATCGTCTCCCCAGTGCGATCCAGTGCGTGTGTGTTTGTTATGGATGTGCCCGAAACCTGAGGTTTGGGCCCTGTTTTTTCTGCAAGTTTTCTCCAGACTAAGCACGGCGGTTCATTCATGAGACACACAGACACAATCACACAAAAAACAGTTGTATTGCAGTATGTGATGTGGAAATTTCCGAAGCAACTTCAAAAAAGGGTTGTTAGTGGAATCTGACATTTGGTGCACGAAGCACTTGTGCAAGGAGCTCGTGTTCCCTGATTGGATTGTAGTTGGTGAGAGGCATGCACATGACTTGGCATCACCATGTCGTACATGTCGTACGCAACGGCCAAATGTTTCCTCACATGGCTGGGCATTCGCATCTCTTTCCACCCTCCCTCCCTTCAGAGGGCTTTGCCACTGCAGGATGAAAGTCACCAAACTGAAGAGACTTGGATTGCACCAAGCTGAAGGGATTCCCAAGAGCTGCAGCGGGATTCTGATGAGTGTGATGAGTATAAGTATAAAGTGCCTAACCCCTTGGCACCACACCTCTTCTGATTCTCTATTGTTTATTCACCATAGAGACTAACATCAAAGTGATGTACGCAGATCAGTACACATGTGATGCACCGAGAAAGTGTTTATACTAAGTGTTAGGGCGTCATGGCTGCACGCACAGGGCCATGCCACTCTTGACTGCTCAAAAGTGACTTGTTTACTCATTGTTGTGCTGAAACTTTTTCAGCTGCGCCTACTCCGCAGGAGCACCTTGAACAAGACCAAGAAGACAAGCACAAAAAAGAAGAAGTGGGCCTGACCATGTATTGACGTGGACTGTGCATGAAGATAGGGGAATTGAGCCATTTGACTCCAAGTGTTCAACACGTAGCATCCGGAGATTGGATTTGTTCCAGAGTAGGTGTTACATGGTGTTACAATAGATTCCCTACAATAGCAAGTCCGCCATTGTTTGGCGATCGCCAGGTGGATCTTGGATGACAAGCACGAGCGTCAAGCCTTCCGTTCCAGCTTCGGTAAAGACTTTGCCAAGCAGAAGGAGATGAAAGAGCAAGGGCGTGTGACCTGCACAGCACACAGAATGGGCAGGATACATATCTTAGGACCTTTGCAAGGGATGTGTGTGAGTAGGATGATGCTGCGGTGGATGCTAAGTAGCCAGCGGCTAGATCAAGCTGTTTCTGTTCCGCAGTGTGTGATTTTGATGTGAATGTAGTGCTCAAGGGCCAGGGTGGCTCATACTCCATCCTCGCTTCAAAGTCCCAAAGCCACCAAAGAACAATAAATACGCATCTCCCTTCAACCAGTTAGGTGCACTTGCTTAGCATGACTTGTAAGGTCTTGTAAGTACACCATGCAGTTCTCCTTAGTCAGAGTCCTTCGACAAACCTGATGCACCCGCTCAGATGGCTTTGAAAGCTGGCCGGGGCTTTGCCGCTTGGCGCAGCAGTTCAGGGATCGAAGTGCCTCGAGATTCGGTGTAGATCCCCGGTGTGTGGGTCCAAAAGGCACCCAAGAACATCGTTTGGCTTGGCTCCAGCAGGGGCTAACACACAGTTTAACACCTCAAGAGATGTTGTGGCAGGGAACCTCCCCTAAATGACGCCTTTGCAACCAGATTTGTTCTTCCGGCATGGTGGAGTCATCTCACCGTCCCAGTTTCATCAGCGTTGTGTCAGTTGCGTGACGCCCCACAAGGTGGAACTAGAGAGAGAAAGAGAGAGAGAGAGAGGAAAAAGCAAAAGATGGTCTGTCTCTCCTCTCCCTCCTCTCCCTCCTCTTCCTCCTCTTCCTCCCTCCCTCCCTCCCCTCATTCTTCTCTTTGCACTTCGCGGTCGGTTTGGCGACCAGGCCGTGAAAGTGAACCCGACCAGCGATTGGCTGCAGCCCTTTAGCACCCTGGCCGCACATGAGAGAGTGTTCCGTTTCAACCCCTGCCGCTGGATCTGTGAGGCCAGTGCCCAAGCTGCCTTCTTGCCTAGAATAGATTCACATGTGGGCAAGTCTCTGCAGGTCGAGGACCAAAGTGGTACGTTTTGACAATCTGGAACAACGCAAACAATCTAATGATTGATGATGATTGATGTACTTTCCCCTGCAGTTCTGTGAATAGGGAAGCCTCGCGGGTGTTTTTAACGCAAACTAATTATGTCCTGGCAGTGCCATGGTGACATGGAGGGTCTTCTGCCGTTGATGTGAAACGAAAGACTTCTATGGAACAGGGGCAGTTTCTCCGAAGTGACAGAGTTCTCCAATACCTCAGAACCATCATTTCAGCTCGGAAAAAATCGGTGCCTTCTTCAGTCGAGCCCTCTCAACTGGTTCAGGGAGGAGCTGTCTGGGGGAATGGAGATGCAGCAGCTCATACGATGTTTATCAATATTTACCTTGTCATGTTACTTCATGTTGGGGCAGCTACCCTCCTCATGGCCTTCGACCGCCAGGCACCACAGTAATTGCGCTCACTTCCTTCAGTGATTTACCTGGCCTCATGGAGGATGCCCCTTGGGCAGCACCTCCTTCCTCAGTGAGAAGCTGAGCAGAGATCAACCAAAAACATCCAAAAGCCAAAAGGAAGACCAGCATCCACGAGCATCCAGTACCATAGACCTACACCTCGCGCAGTGTGAACGCCAAAGTTGCGAGAAAAGAAAAACCAAGAAAAAAGCTCACGTGGGGTCTCGACCCCCAACTTGTTGGAGTCGATATGGAATGATCAGGTGAAGATGAGGAGGGCGCTACATTCATTGGCAGAATCGCCACGCACGTGGATTCGACCGTAACGACCGCGGTTTGTGCGGACCGTCACGGCCGGACCTCGGCCTCCTGGTAGTCCGAGGAGCTCCTCCTGACCTTGCGAGAGCTGCCGGGCCACGCGGAGGGCGAATGCTTCCGGATCCCCCTCCGCCTGCAATCGCCGCCTGGGTTTCGAACACCGGGGGCGAGGGTGTGCAGGGTTTCGATCAGCTCTTTTTGAAGGAGATGGGGAGACAGTGAGACGTCAAAAAAGGCGAAATCGAACATGTGTGACCTTGTCGTCGCTGGTCGCGACTACAAAGAAAGTCACGTGGTGTGGAAAGTCGGGCCAGCTGACAACGCTGGGGGCATCCTAACGTTGAGGTTTCTAAAAGTCATCGCAATCACTTGCATCACTTGGCCAGAGCCTTCCCTGAGTAGAAAGATGTAGAAAGCATTCCTGTCAACTGGCGTCCCGTCGGATGTCACGCCGCAGGATTCCGATTCCAATCGCTTCTAATCGCTTCCCTTCGCCCAGTCGATTTCCCGCCCTATAATACCTCAGCAGGAAATATACTCCAGAAACACCTGACAGGTTGCAGACACGGATACCATCCCAGCATGACCCTGATACCATCCCGGCCTGACTTGCTCCAGCACAGTTGCCTCAGATGTTCTTCAACCACCTGTTTCATGAACGTCGTGGCCGTGTTTTGACGAGAATCAGATCAGCACATATCAGCACATGTGCTTCATTTTGCTTGTGGGGCGGTATGCTTTGCACCGGTCCATGGATCATCCTGCGGATGGTGTGACAATGGCTCTGGGCCTTTTCACTGGTGAGACCTGTGTGAAGGGCCCGAGCGTCCAAGCCGAAGGACTTCTCGAGCTTCACACCTCCCGTCTCAGACATCTCTCTCGCGTCGAACCAAGACCTAGCCGGAGTCACTGGAGGTATGGCAATCCGCTCTACCTGCCCGACCAACAAGTGGGTCTCAACATTTTGTCTTTGCCTCCCAGGCGGGGTTCGCTGCAAGCACCCTTTGGATTTCCGGCTGTCCTTTTTGGGGGGTGAAAGGGATGGTGATTTGAAGTTTCTTCTTTCTTGATGGACCCATGTAGGTTTGCAGCTTATTGTAGATCGCCCGGGTTTGGTGCTTGTTCATTGTGTGTTTCTGATCGGTTGCGGTTGGCTTTTGCTTTGCACTACACTAGTGTGCACTCCCCTGCTTGCTGCTGCAGTTTGTGGTCCGTGTGCATATGATCCGATTCCATGTCTATCCATGAGCACTAGACACACTGCATCGGTTAGAGTCACTATGGAACAGGGCTTGCAAAGCCACTGCGACTGATTGTATGCATATTCTGAATTCTGTAGGGACGGTACCTGTTCTCACATGTTCCCACCCTTCCTGCACGCCTCCACGCCTTGGCTTGGTCAACCAGCTTGTGGGATTGTGCAGGTGAGCGCTGCTAGATTGCTAGTAATAGTAGCTAATTACCATATATTGTTATGCTCTCAGAGGATCTCAGAACCCCTCGTTGTCAACCCGCTGTCGGCATGTGCTCCATCAAGATACCTTCAAATTGAATACGCATCTTTGGATCAGCAAAGGGCTCAGGAGATGGCCCCGCCTTCTAACTTCCTTCGAAGAAGAACACTAACCAGAAACTAGAGCACCAACTGATATCTCGCAAAAACAACAGCGATCACCACGTGTTTTACTCGCAGGACCTGCACAAAATGTACTTTTTTCATCTGTTTGTTTAATGTTTTTTAACAAAATCCCTCCGAAAGCTCCATCTTTGGGGCCCAACGTCATCCGCTCCAGGCTCAGCTGTGGGGTCACCGTTCCGGCCGAGAAGCAGCTGGTGCGGCGCTTCAAAGTGGGAAACAACTCGGCCGCACGCGTGGTCGTGAACTGGAAGGTGAGGAGACCCGTTGGGGGGGTGGTGAGGGGCAAGGGCACATGGCTCAGGTAGAACATAATCTATACAGCAACTTTGCAAGAAAATGTTCGGACCTCACTTGGACCCCGATGCATGTCATTAGATTGATTAATGCACAGCAACTTTCGCGCTGAGCCTCTTTTTCAAGCGCAAAGAAAGTTAGGCGAAACGTGAAAGAAACCACAGCCTCGGTCACCGAGACAGACCAAACTCGAGGTCTTCCCCAAGATGCAGCTGGAGAACATGGCAGAGGATCGAAACATGATCCACGTGGCCCTCTGTGCGCGTCATCGGGACATCAAGGATCCCTTCATCCAGCTGCCCAAGAAGGAAGATCCTGACAAGGAGCGATGAAACACAGTGCTCTGGTGGAAAGTCGCTTGTGAGTTGGTGGCGCGTAAGAACTCTAAACTCGGCGAGCCGGCGCCCACCCTCACCCGAAGAAACGCACGGATACGCGTCCCAGAGCGAGCCATGCTTCATCAGACCGAGCTGTGTGCGTGTTTTTCCACACCCAATGGATCCAGGGTTTCAGTCGGTCTACGACTTTAGTCAACCACTGGTTACCTATGGCATCCTGTAGCCAATCTATAGCCTAAAGTGGCAACTGGATCCCATTGGACAAGTTTGGTTTGGAATGCACCTTTCTCAGACAGTGCCAGGATGTGCTCCAGCTCAAGGTGGAAGAGAAGGAAGTGGTCATGGATGAGGAGCTACCGCTGTGGATGGTGACGGGGTTACAACCAGCGTGAACTGGGGAATTCTCCACGTCCGGTGAACTGGCCTGGCCCTCGAGGTCGCCTCTGGGCGTTGCATGTGCCATCATGTGCCAAACGACTGTGCCAGATCCTTCATGGGGGCTCTTTTAAGGGGTTGATTCTTCGTACCAGAACACCGAACGCAAGACGATCCAACGATCCGAGCCCGTTCTCCAGGAGGAACCAGACCCAGAGGAGCCCTTCAACTTCAAAGTTTGGTGTGAGCCACCTCCAGAGGTGAGGGGTTCATGGCTTGAAACGTGTCCAGTTCGTTTTCATTTTGCTTTGGAGCAGCCGAAATGTCCAAAAGCAACGTTGTGTGGTGAAAAGACTTTAAACCAAGAAGTCCTTTCTGAACCTCTCCGAAAAGCCAGTTCTTGTAGACCACTTGCTCCAATTGCGAGGTGGATGACCCTTTCTCTTTGAAGGGCAAGGAGCTTCCCATGGTCATTGAACCGGAGGAAGCTATAGTTGCTTGGAGAAATGGGTGAGTGTTGAAAGTCCAATTCTTTACAAATAGGTGCGAAACCACTGATCAATGGAGATTCACCTAAGGATTTGTGGGACGAATTCTGACCCAAGGAGAGATACCTGGGTTCAAAGAGCAAGGCACATGTTATTCCTTGCCGGGTCTTCAGAGTGTTTCTGGGCCCCGAGCAAAGTCCCAATCATCCATTGTGGCTCATCACTTCAACCGCGGTCGCTCTACTACACACGACCCACCCGCCACACCCCCCAAAGGATCGGCTCGAATCGGTTGGACGACACTGGCGGGTGCACGGCTGCGGCTACATTTTGCGTCAGTCGCAAAAGAATCCGTCGTTCGTCATTGAATACAATACCTATTAATACTATTACTATAATATCATATAATCCTATAGCATATATACATGGTATATTTGCTTAGATATCTATACCCTAGGCTTCAACGGCCATCAAACTTGAGGTCCTTATGACGGACATGTTCAAAAGGCTTCGACCTTGATTTTTAAGGTCCTTGAGCAACGACCCTATCTTCGATCTTCGCCAGGTCTTTTTCTGAGGCCACACGTCGCTCCAAATGGATCAAAGGTCAGTGCACATGCAGGCCGCTGCGAGAGAGATCGTGAAGAGAACAACATCAACATATTTTCTTTCATGAGTCATCATGGAGTGCTTCACGATATAGTCTGTCTTATTGACATCGATCTGACATGGGCTACCTGGGACCAGAAAGATTGGAAATTGGCCACTGCCTCGTGTGTGAGCCATGCCTTCTTGGAAGTTCTGATGCCCCAAAGAAGTCTGGTGCTCAATTGCAAGACCAGCTTATATAATAAGTACGCGTCTTTTTCAATTGTTTTCAATTGAAAACGACTTGGCTCAGGAAGGAGGCACACTGCTTTGGTTGGAGGTGCACCCACCTTGTTTCTTGAAAAAACATAATAATTCAAATTCGTTTGTTAGACAGGGGTCCTTGGAATTCGCCCTTCGTAGGGTCCAAAGTAGCGATGTCCACTCTTGCTTCCTGGGTGCTTTGAAGGGCTCAGGCAGCTAGTGCTTAGTTCTGGCCAATCTCCAACCTGTTCCGTCAAGCGATGCCAAGTGGGTCTTCAGAAGACCGCATTGCACTCCTGAAGGCGCAGTGCGCTGGATGATATCGATGTTTCAATATGCCCGATGGTTTTGACACACGTACTGTACTATGAATCGAAATGAACGGTAACTGCGTTGAAGCTTTTGCGTCAGGAATTTTATGGGGAATGGCTGAGCGACGACAATTGGATTGTTGAGCGCTTCTACAAATTGGCTGTGCGAAACAGCATTCCCAAATCCAAAGTTCAGAAGCGAATCGATGCTGGGAAGGCAGGCCCCCAAACCCATCAAACTCATCAACACATTGTGGACCTAGAGGACTGCAACCGTATCACAAAGAAGATTGTTAATGTTCCTCTGACCAGGCACCGTGTCAATTCAGCTTCATGGATGTTCCGGAGAACAAGATCACCAACGACACAGCACATGCCTTAGGAAAAATAAATCGACTTACACCGACAAACAAGGACACCATCTTCGTGCGTTTTTACAACCTGTCCTCATGAGGTGGAGGTGGACACCAACTTTGCCTTCATGCAAGATTTTCTAGCAAGCTTCGGCCAGGAATTACCCAACCCTTGTGAGGTCAAGGCAGCATTTTTACTCACTTTGCCTAATTTGTTGAAACCACGGTTGAATTGATCTAATGTTGGATTGATCCTACACGTGACGCCGCTGCGCAGTCGGTGCTGTTTGACCTGGCAAAGTCGATGGACCAAAAGCTTGTGGTCAACAAGACAGCTGATGATTTGAAGGACCTTTTTCAATTCGTACATTCTTCTTCAAACGAATTCCAAAAGGACTGGGCATCGGATGAATGTGATCTCCATCTTGGCTTGGCCCGGTATGTGATTAGAAAAGCTCAACGCAACTTGCATGCAAGGCCGGCCCCCCCGTTATCAAAAGCCCTCTGTCCGAAGCCACCGTGAGTGCCAGGTCGCCGAACTCCAAAATGGAGGAGCTCAAAACGCTGGTGAGGAACCTGCGTCCAGGCTGACGAACTGTTCGATCTCATTCCAATCACACAAATTGGCACTAGCGTGTTAGATTATCATGTGCTGACCACCGATGTTCATTATTCTGTGCGCAGAAATCGTGAAGAAGCTCTCAAGCAAAAGTCACAAAGAAGATCAAGACACACCAGACGAGATCACAGTGCCAGAAGCGCTGAGTCCTCGTTGGAGTCCAACTCACAGTGAAGAAAAGCCAGCTTTCATGCAGTCAGGTACTTCTGTGGAGCAGGGAGGCTCAAGCGAGCAAAAGTCAAGGGACCCCCCCAAATCTTCGATGTCTGATTTGGCATGCAAGTTAGAGGATATGAAGCTTTCCGATAGTCCCGTGCACGCGCCGTAAACCCACCAAATTGACTTAACTATCGACAGCCAACAAACCTTTGATTATGGGCCCCTTCCACTGCCGGCTGAGACACCGAGCCAGCCCGTGGCAAAGCAGGAAAGCAAACAACAGCAAGCCCATGGCGAAGGCAACAACAGCAAGAAACAAGGTTCGCTTCCAGCAGAGCCAGCACAGCGCGTTGAGCAACAAACTCCAGCAGAGCCAGCACAGCGTGTTGAGGAACCAACTCCAGCAAAGCCAACACAGCACGTTGAGAAACC